TCTGGAAACAAAGTTCAATCTAAAGGAATGGACCATAGATTTGATGACCATACATTGCAGCAACAGAAGTCAGTGGGGCAAACTGTAACTAGGAGGATGGGGACCTCACTTCTGAGACCAGCAGATGCCAGTGCAAGGACTGGCATGAGGCTGGGGGCCCCTTCACCCCAACACCAGGAGAATATAGCACCTAAAATGGTTGTGACTTCACTGGGGGTTAGGCAGGAAGAGGCTCTTGTGAGACTGAGGGTTTTTATCTGCATGGGAGACTGAGCATTATTTGAAGGGACTGTTAAATAACCAGATTGGATTGGAGATCTCTCTCTGTCTATATCTGTATCTCTAAAATATTCATATCTAAAGCCACTAGGTATTAGATGGAGAAACAGGAGACAGGACACATTGGTATTAGACAAAATAAACAACCTAAGTTTTTGCTGCACCTTTGAGTTTTAAAATCAGTTACATTTTATGAACCTGTTTTGCTTGCTTCCTGTAAGAGGAGAATATTGGCCCAGAAGATCTCAAGGTCCCTTCTAGCTTTAAATGTCAAGGTTCAGCAGATATCCATTATTTGTCAAACTCCTTCAGCATCCTCAGAGGTCTCCCTACCTCCCAGTGACCTTTCCTTCAATACCCTGTCCTGTGTGTTGGAGCAAGAACAAACTTTCTCAAATGCCTCTTTATTCGCGTGATTTCCCTGCTCTGAAGCGTAGTCTTGGAACAGATTAAAACCCCTTTCAGGGATCTTAACATTGTCCATTGCCTGTTCTGTTTGAGGCCCTTTGCAGGATCAGATGTATTTACCATGTGTTGAAAACATTTGTTTCTTTTGGTCTTGCTCTTCTTTTCCAAAAGACATCTCTGTCTTTTAAACTTTTTGAGCTTTAAACAATGCTCAGAATTTTTCTTTTTCCTGCTAACATAAACCAGCTTTTGTGAGCCCCTCATTATTGTTTCCATCCCCTGGAAACAATACCTCAGTCTTGTTAGACACACATTTTTATTTGCTGCAAATAACGCTATGCTGGGTGATGTATGTGGTTCGTTTTTCTGAAACTTTTCTTTAAATCCCTACACACATGTAATTATAAAGGGACTTGACTTTTATAATCTCTTCTCCCTTTGATTATGTTTTATGCAGTTCTGCCCTTGGAAGAAAACTCAGGCAGGCCCCATAATATTTCTGGAAACTTCTCTGGCTATTTCAAGTCAAAGATCAGAGTTCTAGTTTAGTAATTAAAATGTCCCGTCTCCTGCATAAATTAAGATTTCAATCTTGTTTTCTGTTTGTGGCTTTCCTTGTCTTCCAGCGTCAGCAGTACACAGGCAGGAAGCTGGGGAGAAGATGGGGGTATGGTCTTCTCTTTGCTTTTTCCTTTTTTCTGTTCCTTCTTCCTATCTCTCCAACCACATTTTCTGACTCCCCACCCACCAACCCCCCATGCTTGGAAGGGAGAAGATGCAAGGAGAGCAGGAAAGTTCCTCCCATTCTGCTCCTGATATGATAACCTAGAATTGCTGGTCTCTCGATTTGGTAGATGTTTGAAGAGGACTCTTTTCACTCATGGGAATGCTTTTTTCTTTTTTGGTTTTTCCATTTCTCCAACATTACAGAGGATCTCTTACTGGCTGTTCACTATTCCAGCTGGTACTCTACTCCTTCATTAGTCCCTTAGACATCCTAAACAACCTCCAGCTTTTGTCTGATGAAATTAACTTGCTCCTTTTAGTGGCCTAATTGGACAGTGCCTAAGAAAGCTTACATGCATGCTCTCTCTCTTGTGTGTGGTTTGTCTCTCTTTTGCGTGATTTGTCTCAACAGATTTGGAGGTTTCAGGCTGCCAACATACCTTATCGCCTGTCTCTTCTCGGTAGCTAGCCAGAATGTCTTTCACCCTTCAGATTCTCCAGGTGGGAGGAGTGTAGCAGGCCATGTTGTTCCTCAAACTGCAGGGGACAAATACCAGTTCATCTTCCCAGTTCTTTTGAACTGGTGGTGAAGGCGGAAGCATTCCCATTCTTTTGCACTTTGGATCGATAGGGCTCATGGAACACCAGTAATTCTTTCAGTAATTCCCCCTTATTCTTTTATTCTTAGTTTTTTTATACCTTTGATTTGGGCAAAAGGTCTAAGGATGATTTTCTTTCATCTCTCTTTTTGCAAATCCTAATGGTGGTCTGTCACTTCACTTAGGGATATGGTTTTCATTATCTTTGGGCCATTTTAATACTCTCTCTTCCTTCCTTCCTTCCTATCTATCTATCTATCTTTATTCTTTTTGTGCCTCCATTTCCTCATTTTTAAAATGACGGTAATACTACTACGTACTTCAAAAAGATGTTTTTAAGACTTAATGTGTTAATAAAAGTAAAGCTCTTAGAACAATTCTTAGCACATGGTGTTATATAAGTGTTAGCTATTATTATTAACAATATTATCATCTAATATAATTTATATATTATCTAGATATAACTCAACCAAATCAACAGGGACAGCCCTTGATGTGCCCCAGGGATGGTGCTAGTGCCAGAGCTACAGTACTTAGTTAAATATGGTCCCTTCCTTTTAGTGCTTCAATGTATGATTCATATTTTCTTATTAAGTATTCATTTATTTATTAAAAAATAATAATTATTTCTAATATACTGGTGATCAATACAGATATAGTCCCTACTCTCCTGTAAAGCTCAATTCGTTCTCCATAGAATACAACATTCTCCGTATACTTGGAGCTCAATAAATGTCACTGGTGTAATATATATATATGTTTTCATGTATAAAATATAAATCTATATATTTCATATATTTGTTTTATTTTACATAAACAGATCCTACAATGGACAGTGATACTTTTGGGAATAAACTAATGTTCTATATTAAGGGAGTTACTTTCAAAATATAGGGATCATATAAGAAACTAAAATCTCAGACAATTGTATTATATCCTAGCTTAAATCAATAAAACACTAGTTCCTGAATTTAATTTTAGACTATGTCTTAATGGTAGAAATAAATGAGAACTAAATGCTCCTATAGTCAGGACTCACTTAGGAAGGAACTTTTCCATATATCGTCAACAAACCAGGGAGTTGAATACAATATTTAGTCATAGGTACAATTATTTTTCCCATTAATTTTTATTTACCTATTGTAAGCTCCTCACTTAGATAGTAGGTATAAGAAATTTAGTAAATTGTCATAACAGGCTTGCCTGCTCTGGGATTGGTGAGAAAGCAGACAAGATAAACTGTTTCCATGTGGTGTAAACGTGGCTCTGAATGATTTTAACATTGGTCCTCTAAGCCTCTCATTTGTAATAATCCTATGTGTATTCAAATTATGGAAGTACTAAGCCTGGTGTCTGTTACTCATTGAGCCCTCTTTAGTTAGCCAATACTGATATGACATGGCGTTTACCTTATACTCTTACTTTCAAAGGATGTCATCTTATATTTTTATTTTAAAATAAAAATAATTTTAAAACAAATTTAAATTTTACAAAATCAGGACTTACATATTCTTATATACAACTAAATATAAATACTATACATAGTGGGTTTTACTATTTGTCTTCAATTTCTCTTCCTAAAGGAACTAGTAATAAGCCATAATTACTGTGTCTGAGGGACTGCGATTTCCAAAATGGTAGCTACTAGCCACATGTAATTGCTGAAATTGAAATTAAGTAAAACTAGAAATTAAGGTTTTCAGTGTACTAATCAAAATTAAGCGCCCAATAGCTAAAGTGGCTAGTGACTGTTATCTTGGACAGTACAGATATAGAACATTTACATCATCACAGGCAGTTGTGTTGGACAACTTAGTCACAGATTCTGTTGTGTGTGTCCCACAAAGGGCTTATTTCACCCAGTTTGGGGTTGTATGCTTCAGCGCCTTGATTACTGGATTCTTATTTTTTTCTTGTTCATTTTCTCAATATTTGGTCTGTAAACATTTTTTCTAATCTAATATAGCTCTTGCTTTTTATTAAATCAAGCTTCTGGAAATATAATTTACATATAATAAATACACCCATTTTAAATGTATATTTTCAAGAGTTTTGGCCACCACAATTAAAAGATAGAACATTTTCTTCACACCAGAAAGCTTCTTTAAGTCCATGTGAAATCAGCCACCACCCCCAGTCCTGGCCCTAAGCAGCAACTGTTCAGCCTTCTGCCACTGTACATTAGTTTACTCTGTTCTGAGTTTTCACACAGGTGGGCTCATGTAGTTTGTACTCTTTTGTGCTTGGCTTCTTTTTCTCAGGCTAACGTTTTTGAGTTTCATCCATGCTGCTTCATTAATTTTGTTTTTTTTTTAGGGAAGATTAGCCCTGAGCTAACATCTGCTGCCAATCCTCCTCTTTTTGCTGAGGAAGGCTGGCCCTGAGCTAGCATCCGTGTCCATCTTCCTCTCCTTTATATGTGGGATGCCTACCACAGCTTGGCTTGCCAAGCACTGCCGTGTCCACACCCAGGATCCGAACCGGCAAACCCTGGGCCACCAAAGTGGAACGTGCAAACTTAACTGCTGTGCCACCGGCCGGCCCCTGCTTGATTAATTTTTAAATTTCTGAGTAATATTACATTTTCTGAATATATCAGTTTGTTTATCCATTCTCATTCATTATTTTTCCCCAAGCATTCTTTTGGAAGTTTTATAGATTTAGTTTATATATTTAGGACTATGTGCATTTTAAATTATTTTTGTGTATAGTCTTATTTAAGGAATAGGGTTCATTTTTTCCATGTACATATTCAATTATTTCAGCACTATTTGTAGAAAAGCCTTTCTTTTCTCTGTTGAATTCCTTGGCATCTTTGTCAAAAATCAATTAATCATGTATGTGGACTCTCTATTCTGTTCCACTGGCCATAAGTTTATCCTTCTACCAATACTACACTGTTTTGATTACTGTAAGTCTTGAAATCAGGCTAAGTTACCAGACTTTGTTGTTTTTCAAAAACTTTTTGTATATTTTATGTCATTTCAGTTTTTTGTGAATTTTTAGAATCAATTCATCAAGCTCTACAAACAGAGGCTGCTGGGATTCTAATCTGTAAGCATTGAAAAAACCTTTCCCCTCTTTTCCCCTTCTCTCTGCATCAGTTACGACCCAAACTTTCTATAAAATTACCAGTGTTATAATATGCTGTGAGTACCATCTGTCTAGTCCGTAGATGAAATTTTAGAAATGGGCTTCTTTATAGGATAACTTTTTAAATTTTTTCTTCCACTGTAAACTGTGCTACTTAAGATTTGTTAATTAACATCTTTAAGCATAAGTATCTTAACCTGTTGATGATTTTCTTTCTATGTGAAGTGGGATTGTTGAATCAAAGTTTATATAAATTTTAAATTTTAATTTAAATTCTAATTTAATTTTAAAATTAAAATTCTGAATAAATAAAACTTTATTTAGAATGCAAAACTTCTAAATAAAATATTAGCAAACAGAATACTATAATGCCTCCAAAGAATAATACATCATATCTAAGTAGAACTCATCACAGGGTTGCAAGGCTATTTCAGTATCAGAAATTTATGAGTTTAATTCATTACATTTGCCGATTAAAAGAGAAAGCCATATAATTATACAATAGATACTAAAAAGCCTTGAATAAAAGATAGCAGTTATTCATAAACATTCTAAGTACAATAAGAGTAGCAGATATGCTTAAATAAGATAAAGGCTATCAGAAATAAATAGCAAATATTATTCTAAATGATGAAACATTAAAGACATTTCTGTTATATAATTAGAAAGAGAAGAGAGACGACCAGTACTTTATTATTATTCAGTGTTATTTTGGAAGTTCTCTAAAATGCAATAGGAAAAAAGTGAAATAACACCTAAAATAGTGGAAAAGAAAACAAAGTGATTTTTCTTTTTCTTTCTTTTCTTGTCTATGATATCTTAGTATCCTTAGAAATTGTTACACACTGAATTGTGTGTCTCCGCCTGCTCCTACTCCCCTACCCCCGCAATCATATGTTGACATCCTAACCCCCAATGTGACCATATTTGGAGATAGAGCCTTTAAAGAGGTAATTAAGGTGAAAATAAGGTTGTAAGCTGGGACCCTAATCCAATATGACTGATGTCCTTGTAAGAAGAGGAGATTAGGACGTAGACAACACAGATGACCATGTGAAGATGCAGTGAGAAAGCTTGGTTCGCTTCTGCAAACCAAGGAGAGAGGCTTTATGAGGAATCAACCCTGGTGACACCTTAATCTTGGACTTCTAGCCTCTAGATCTGTGAGAAAATAAATTTCTGTAGTTTAAGCCACCTGATCTGTGATGGTTTGTTATGGCAGTTCTAAAAAACTGATATAGAAACCCATGATATACTCATTCTAGTAAAAATCTGTAAGTTTTAATAAGAGAATTTGATTAAATAGAAGACAGTTAAACATGAACCAAAATTTTTCTCTATATTATGTGTAACCATCTGTAAATGGAAATCAGAAAAAAAGTCAGAAGTGGAATTAACTAAATGGCAAAGATGAGATTTTTATATTTTGCTCTTTACTTGGGTAAACACTGATTGTCATTTCACTTATTTATGACTATCTTAAAGGGAAATTCTTTGGCTTCAATACAAAAACACTTAGCTTTATACCACCTTCTATTTATTACTGCCTGACGATAATTAGGCATGTAGATAATTGTTTATTTAGCTCCTTAGAAGGAAAAGCTTAAATATTGGGAATATTAATTGTCAAGTAGTTATTTATTCAAGTTATAAATTTAATAAATGAAGAAATATTGAATGTTAGCACACAATTATTGCATAATACCTTTTTTCATTTCACTAAATTTCAACAAAAATGCTTTATAAAACTCAATCTGAAAGTAAATAATTTATATTATAGTCTAATAATCCAATACACACATAATAGCTTTTTCAAGTCATTTTTACCAAAAATTAAATTCATATTGTAATACTCCTCTTTAAGATTAATCTCAAATTTGGGTTCTCTATTTAATGGCTATTTGAGGTAGGAAAGATATATTTGACATGTCATTTTACAACTTTATTCAGGAGATAGAATACAATTTCATTTCAAGTTTTCTCATTCTTTTCTTCTGAAATTGCTACCCAATCTTTTCTATAAATAGAAGAAGGTGTAAGATACCCCAACTATTATTTTTAACATTATCTATCTATGTTTCCATCTTTTTTTGTGATGCTTTCATGATTTTAGGTAAAATGTTGTAGAATTATTACTTTATTTTTCACAGAATTGATAATACTATTTATAAACATTTAAGCAATCCAGAAATGTACAAGAGAACAAAATACTTTCCATGTCCCACCACCAGAAACAAATGTCAATATAATAATAAAATGACTTTTTAGTCATTGCTGTTTGCATACATACAGATAGAAATATAGCCATAGATGGCTAAAACAGTAGATTAAAATTGCATCTAATTATACATAATATTTTAAATTAAAATATGTTTAAGTTTACTTGAAGTTAATAAAAGAAAAAGAAGCTAACACGAAGCTTACAGAATTTTCAACCTTCTGATAGATATTTCTTCATCAGGGATAGTCATTGCTAAAGAGCCTTTTGAGTTTAAGAAGAACGATAAGAAACATTAAGAAGTTTTCTTAAAGTTCATGTTTCAATTCTGCTGTGAAAGATGAGGAAATGAGCACTCTTCCTTCCTCCTGCCCTTTCCTTAGTTCTGTTTTTATTCAGTGTATTATAATATTTACTTTCCAAGTTTTATAATGTTGACATTCAGTCCTATAGATATAATTCTCAGAGTTTTTTAGTCTTGGTTCTACATTTAAATAGATTTCATTTTCTCTACCAGTCTTTTTTACCACAACATCTCCATTCCTCAGTTTCTGGTTTTCAGTCACATTTTTGATGGCTGAATTTCATGGTCAACTAATTTTCGACAAAGGTGCTGAAAATACACAATAGAGAAAGACAATCTCTTCAATAAATGGTGCTGGGAAAACTGGATAGCCACATGCAAAAGAATGAAATTGGACCTCTGTCTTATACCATACACAAAAATCAGCTCAAAATGGATTAAGGACTAAATGTAAGACCTGACATCATCAAACTCCCAGAAGAAAACATAGGGGAAAAGCTCTTTGACGTTGGTCTTGGAATGACTTTTTTGATCTGATACCAAAAGCACAGGTAACAATAACAAAATAAACAAGTGGGACTACATCAAACTAAAAAGTTTTTGCACAGCAAAGGAAACAATAAAATAAAAAGGCAACCTATAGAATAGGAGAAAATATTTAAAAACCATGCATCTGATAAGGGGTTAATATCCAAAATGTATAAGAAACTCTTACAACTCAATAGCAAAAAATACAAATAAGCCACATAAAAATGTGGACAAAAGACCTGAAGAGAAATTTTTCCAAAGACATACAAATGGCCAGCGGGTTATATGAAAACATGCTCAAAATCTCTAATCATCAGGGAATTGCAAATCAAAATCACAATGAAATATCACCTCTCATCTGTTACGATGCCTGTTAACAAAAAGACAAGAGATAAATGTTGGTGAGGATGTGGAGAAAAGGGAACCCTTGTGTACTGTTGGTGGGAATGAAAATTAGTACAACCATTGTGGAAAACAGTATGGAGCTTCCTCAAAAAAATTAAAAGTAGATCTACCATATGATTCAGTAATCCCACTTCTGGGTATATACCCGAAGGAAATGAAATCAGGATCTTGAAGAGATATCTACATTCCCAGGTTCATTGCAGTGTTATTCACAATAGCCAAGATATGGAAGCAACCTTAAGTGTCTCTTGATGGATGGATGAATAAAGAAGATGTTGTATATATACACAATGGAATATTATTCAGCCATAAAAAAGAAGGAAATCCTGCCATTTGTGACAGCATGGATTAATCAGGAGGGCATTATGCTGAGCTAAGCCAGACAGAGAAAGATAAATACTATAGGATCTCGTTTATATGTGGAATCTAAAAAAAAAAAATTGAACTCATAGAAACAGAGAGTAGAATGGTGGTTACTAGGGGATGAGGAGTAAGGGAATGGGGAGATGTTGGTCAAAGGGTACAAACTTTCAGTTATAAGATGAATAAGTCTGAGGATCTGATGTACAGCGTGGTGACTATAGTTAATAGTTCTGTATTGTATATTTGAAAGTTATTAAGAGAGTAGATCTTAAGTGTTCTCACCAAAAAAAAGGGTATGAGGAAATGGCTATGTTAATGAACTTGATTGTGATAATCATTTCACAACATATACATGTATCAAATCATCATGTTGTACACTGTAAATATATTACAATTTTATTTGTCAATTATACATCACTAGAGCTGGAAGAAAAATAAAGAAGTACTTAGAGATGTGTTCTCTGAGTTTGTGCATGTCTGCTACAAATTATAAAATGTTATAAAACACCTGGGTCATCTTTTTTCCCCAAGAACTTTGTAGATATTACTGTATTATTTTCTGGTGCTAAAGGTTGCTGGGAAATATCTTGATGCTAACTTAGTTTCTTTCCCCCTGTAGGTGACTCATTTTATTTTTTCCCTGGAAGAGTGAATTCATTTTTTAAAAAATTCCCATACTTAATACGGAAAAATTCTTGGATCGCATGAATACATATATAAATTATAATAAGATCTATATTAATTATTTACTTATGCTTTTATTATTTTAAAAATTAATTCTAGCTTTTAAAATGGAATTTAACAGTTGGACCAAAAAAGAGGCAAATCTAGGGGCCGGCCCCCTGGCCGAGTGGTAAAGTTTGCACACTCCGCTGCAGGTGGCCCAGTATTTCGTCGGTTCGAATCCTGGGCACGGACATGGCACTACTCATCGAGCCACACTGAGGTGGCGTTCCACATGCCACAACTAGAAGGACCCACAACTAAGAATATACAACTATGTACCAGGGGGCTTTGGGGAGAAAAAGGAAAAAATAAAATCTTAAAAAAAAAAAAAGAGGCAAATCTCTCTTGTTCTTTTATATTTATTTCTTCTAGTGTGTTTGACCATTTTATACTGTTATGTTTCAATTCTGATTTGCTTTAAAACTTTATAACTTTTAATGTTATTCTTACTCAGCTTAATTTTTAAGTTTTGTATTATGTATCTTAAAATAATTTATTATTCTTGTTTTTTAGTTAATTTAAATGTATAAGGAGGAAAAGTTTTGTGTGACAGTTTTGAACTTAAGCACAGTCCACATTCCAAATAGGGGAGGTTAGATGCTCTATTTTACCCCAGTAGGTTCTGGAACATCTCATCCACCTTCCCTAGATAGACCTCATTATCCCATTCCATTTATCACTGACATTCCTAAAATATTTCATGTGAGCGATTTTGAAAACCCACAGGCCAAATTCCTTGCAATAATGATAATCACTACTTATGTGAATAGCATTTTTAAATGCTGACACTGTTTCTTTCACCATTTGTTATTATTCCCTTTAAGAGGATTTGCGTGTCCTAAAATCCATAGACAACAACTGCATACTGAGGAAGTCAGGTTAAAGAAATGACTTCATAACTACTGGGGAAGTAGATGGGAGATGCCTTTAAGGGAGGACTCTTAACATAATGCCAGTAATTTAATTTTAACTAAAAACCTTGATCTTATTTACCTTTCTGGGAAGAGTTATGGAGGGGATCTCTTAGGTTGTAGAGTTTCCCAACTCCTTCCAGTATTAATGTGCAAAGCAAGGAGTAAGGAGGATTGTCAACATGGTGTGCTAGAAAGCCCATACCAAAGCTTGGAGCTTTAAATCTCAAATTGACTTTTGGCTTTGTCACTTACTAACTGTGAACACTTGGGCAAGTTAGCTAACATCTCAGAGTCTTAGTTTCTTCATGTTTATAATGTGATAATGCCTGAATTATTGTAAGACTTAAATGAAATAATGTCTGTAAAGTACTGAGGACATAAAAAGCATTTGGTGTCAGTTCCATTCCTTGAGCTGGAGTAAATCCCTAATGTCTCTTTGAAGAGAATTTTGTTGTGCCTTGGGTTCCTCTCCACCCTGCCTCTCTGTAGCCTTCACTGACAAGATGTAAGCTTTACAGTCTGACAGGTCACTTGCCAGAGGCTAAGGCTCCCCTTTCATCCAACCATGAAAAGTACCTGTAGAAAGTGAAAGTGACATTGCCTCAGCAGATGAATGTACTGTTGCTATAAGAAAGGTTATCTTCATCAGAGGAAGGAATTTTGCCCTGAGGGTTTTCAGAGTCATTCAGATTAAATGTTTTAGGAATTTCAGTAAAACTGCAGCCCTGAATTGTTTACTCCTCATCTTTTATCAAAAATGTTAAGACAAATTGATATGTGTAAGAAATATTTATCTACCAATAGTCCTTGGGACCTGTGGATGGGCTGCAAAGGGTCAATGAACTCCCTGAAATTATATACAAAGCCCAGTGTGCATGTGCATTTTTGTGCTGAGAGGTCTATAGTATTCGAGAGATTTGTAAAAGGGTTCAAAGTTCAAATAAAATTAAGAACCACTTTCTTAGATACTCTGACAACTGTCTTTGGAGAATTGGATCATGAGATTAGTTTTTGGACCATATTAACTTAGCTTGATGTATAATCATCTTCACTGAGTTTTGTTTTAATAGTATGCCTATAAAATATAAAGTTCATAGTCTTTGCTGGAAAAAATTATATATAATTATATTTATATATTATATTTATTATATATAATATATTTATTATATATAATATTATTTATTATATATATTACTATTATTATAAATATTAGTCATATAATTTTTTCCAGCAAAGACTATGAACATAATTGTTGAGGATAAAGTTCAGCATCTTTTCTACCTATTTTCTCATTACTGGGGTTGGCACCTTGCACAACTTGTACAGTGGGACATAATGCCTTTGTCTTGCCTTATGGATGACTGCTCATTACTTTATATATTTCAAGTGGATATAAGTGCTTTGCCTGTGTTAGTGATTATCAAAGGAAAAGTGGAACATTTATTCCAATATTTAGTCAATTTAAACTGAGAAATGCTACACTTAGAATTTTCACAACTGCACAGCTAATATAAATTTAAAACTGTAATAGCATTTCTATGCTGAGAATCCAAATATGCTTATGTTCCTGAGCCAACATTTATAAAGTAGTAGTGATTGCTTGGAGCATTGTTTCAAAGAAGGTTCTGGGGCTGCATCTGGGTGCAGAAGGAAAGAGTAAATTTATAATTGATTAGCAATATCTTCTATGTGCCAGAAGAGGGGAGACACAGCCACATTTTTGCTATCCTTGATTATTGCCTTATGGAGGACAAATCAAAATGCACTTTTTATGCCATGAATATATTCCATTTTGTTTTTAAAACATATCAAGAATATGGTAAAAATTGGCCAACTGAGGTAGCCTGGAAGCCTCAAAATCTTAGATCTTATGCCGAGTAAACTATAGAAGATAAAATGTATTTGGTGATGGAATAATTTTATCAGTTCTTCATTATTGACAGTGAGGCTAGAAAAGGATAAATAGGGGGAAATGAAGCACAATCTAAAATGCAAGATCTTAAAGGTGATCAAATGCGAATATTAACCAACAGTGCAAAATGCAAGGATTGTTAAGTATAAATCAAGTATTCAATAAAGGAGAATCAAAGAATAAAAGAAAGTATAATATTTTATTTGGGTCATAAGGACAGCATTTGCTTGCACACATTGTGCAAAAGCTAGATTCATGAAGTCACCCTGTGGTGCCAGAAAAAAAGGAAAGAGCAAAGAGATCTCACTTTCCCTGGGGAGGACGAGAAGGGTGAGAGCCAAGTTGAAGTTTGGGCTGAGTTGAAAGCTTCCCCAGGAAGGGCTGGAGATTTCTTTCCACTCTTCTGACCTCTGCTAGTCTTGGAACTTTGTTAACATGCTAGTGGAAAGGGTCATGCAGAATAAAACTACTTTTTTCCTTTTTATTCACTTTCTTCTGAATTCCAGATGTCTAAGTAATTATTTTCAAACATCACAGTT